AGTAAATTCAAATAAATCTCAAAAACCATTATTGCAAGGTATTATGATCTCTGACTTTAATGCAATTAAATTGGGAAATAAAAGTTAAACTGAAGTAGGAGCGGCCTCGAGAAACAAACCTCTTGAACACCGAACTGGGAAGGAAGGGGTGATTTATCCAGCTGGGACACTGCAGCCTGGCTGCCTAACAGCCAAGCTCCAGCTCACAGAGAAAGTTCCTGCCCTTTTAAAGGCTTACAACTCTAGAAATTACATGGGAAAGGGTCTTTGGCTTACAATTCTAGAATTGTCATGTGAAAGGGTCTTGGGCTTATAACTCTATAATTTACATGTGAAAGGGTCTTGGGCCATGGAGTAGGCGTGGGGTATAGTGGCTTAGGTGGAGGTTTGATCTTGTTTAAGTAAAAACAGTGCCTTTCAGAAAGATTCCTCCATACCATGCCTTCCATCTACAGGAGGGCGATTAAGGTAGCCCCAGGTCTGCCAGCCTTTACTTCTTCTATTGAAATCCAGTGAGGAAGTCAAGTGGGGGATGGTCTTAGATGCTTAAGGGTGATTAAGGGCCTCCTCCCTCAAAACAACTATAAAACTCTTACATCTATTTATAAGTTAATATATACCGTAAATGTATTTAGTATTAGATGCAAACAAAATAATTTCATTGCAAAAACGAGTAGGATGAGTATAGTGATATTTGAGGACAAAATATCTAAAGAGAAAGTCTACGGAAAATAACAAAGTTTTTTGTTTTGTTTTGTTTTGTAATGAGATCTCTTTTTACATACATTAGACTATCACAGTCCTATATGCCATATACTGGAGAGCAGTGGAGCAAGAGATAGATAATGATACCAAAATGTAACAACACCACTTTAGAAAACAAATGTGACCATACCTGGTAAAGCAAAAGCTGGACACACCCCACAATCTGGATATATGGACCATGGAACCTCTTGCATAAGCACCCAGGGATGGATCTGAAAGAATGTTCATTTTAGTGTTATTTGAAATAATAAAGAATCCACAAAAAGGTTCTCAACTAAAGAATTCATAAATATTATGAAACGTTCATAAAGTACAACTCTAATCAGCAGGTGAAATTAATGAACTAGAGCTGCATGAATCAAATGTTTAAAATTATGGAACAATGTGCAGTGCAAATAAGCAAGTTGTGTAATGATAATTATGAGAGTATGGGAATATTTATAAAAATAATTTTAAACATTCAAGAACTATTTGTTGATTATGCATTTGCATTCAAGGATTAAAACTCAACAAATTAAGAATAGCAGTTACATTTTTCAGGAGTAGTCTGGGGAATGTGTTTTGGGAATTGTTCTCAAAGGGTTGTAACTATCTAAGTTTTTTTTTTAACAAATAAAATGAAAATATGTGAAGCAAATAGAGGAACATATTAAGACTTATTAAGCGGGATGGGGGATACATAGTTGTTTTTTATCTTAGTCTTTTGAATTTATGTAAGGCTGAAACAGTGCATGATTAAGATAAAGAGAAATGACTAAAGACATTTAGAGATGGAGACAAGGCCACATTATAAGTATGTGGCATGATGTGCCCATGTATGGTTTCACCTCATGTTTACAATTGTCCATTATTTACCTTCTACCTTAGCTGGACCACACTTTCACCATTTTTGTCTTCTCCACACAGGCCCCTAATATTCAGCTTTTCCCCAGCTAAAATATAGAATATCTCCCTAACAGTCCATGTTGAGAATTGGCTGACCACAGCAAGAAATATTTTCTATCAGATCAAAGGGATCATGCTCTTTGCTTACCTCTAGAGATCCTGATAGTGGAGAATTCTTTCTCTTACACTAGGCTTTGATAAAATCTCTGCTTATCTTACTGTTAATTTATTTTTATTGGACAGATTTTGTTGCAGAAAAACTTACCTGACAAGAAACTCAAGTGGCACTCAGGGAAATGGAGGAACATTCTTTATTACGCCAGCAGGCCCAGAAGGGTTCACACCCAAAAGTTTGGACCCCCGCTAAGAAAAGTACACAATTTTTATAGGTAAGGGGACAAGGGAAGGAACTCACAACTTTTAAACAATGCAGCAGTTTTTTTTTAAGGCTTTTTAGCTAGTAAGCAATAAGCTGAGGTCCAGAAGCAGAAAGAGGCAGTTATTAGCAGAAAAACAGGGGCAGTTTTAAAATAGGGAAGTAGCTATGTGCTAACAAAATCCTGGGCAAAACTTCCACTTCATTCCCCTCTTTGATGCTCTCTTATGGATATTAGGGAGCATCATCTTTACACCCTGGTGTATGTATTTACCAGCTTGTACCCACTGAGGGCCAGAAACTGAGCACTTGTTTTTCTAATTACTATGGCTTCAATGAAGCACGAAAGTATGTTAATTAGGCAAGGGCCGAAGGCAAGGGCCAAGCAGATTATTAATAGCAAAACAGGAAGTGACATTTTATACCAGACATGGACAAGGACTGTCCCTCAAAGGACAACAATGATGACAGCACAACAGTAGAACCACAAATGTTGTCAGAATAGTTCCAAGTATTAAGATTTCAGTCCATATTTGCTGATTCAGTGGAGGCTCCTCAAGCTTCAGCCGTGCATTGACTGGTCAGCTTCTGGTTGTGTGACTAGAGCAGGGCTTGACGAGTTCTCAGGATTCAGCCCGCCGGAGCATGATTTTCGTGGGGTGCCGAGGGTCTGATGTTCAGTCCACCAGTCCAGCGATGTGTTCGGGTGTGCCCTCTTGGCTCTGGAATAGTGTACCTACAGAACGACTCCCGCAACTTTGGGAGCAGTTGGGGTGACAAGAATTACGGTACATGGCCCTGTCCAGACAGGTTAGAGGGGTTCCTTTTTCCAATCTTTCACCCAGACCTGGTCCCAGGTTGGAAGGGATGTCCTGGATTGGCTAGGGAGATAGGTGCTCTTTCTATTACAAACTGACCTGGGATAGCACCTTTCCCAATGCCTGCAGCTGGGATGTCATGCTTGTTTCCCCCAGCTGTCTGAGGTCTGCCCTCACCTTGTTAACCAGAGCGGGGGCCTCCTGAATAGGATTTCAAAGGGTGAATAACTGGCAGGTCTCAGTGTACACTGTGACCACAACAGGGCTAGGGGAAGCAGCATATCTACCCAGGAAACCTGGGACAGAGCTTTGCTGGTGTAAGCTTCAGGATTCGATTGATGCGTTCCACTTTCCCTGAACTTTGTGTCCTGTAGGATGTGTGAAGTTTCCATTTAATCTTGAGCACTCTGGTGAGGGCTTGGATGATCTCTGCCACAAATGCTGACCCATTGTCACCGTGTATAGTGAGTGGAATCCTGTACTGGGAAGCAATGTCACAAAGTAGGACTCTCACTACTTTCGGGCCCTTTCCATCTTGGTTGAGAGTGCCTCCGCCCAGCCTGAGTATGTACATACAAGGACCAGTAGGTATTTGTACCCTTTACTGGGCTTGACTTCAGTGAAGTCCACCTCTATGTCCTCAAGGGGGTAGCCACCCACCTGTTGCACCCCTGGGGCAGGTTTCAGCTGCTGTGGGGGGTTGTTTTTTAGCACAGGTAAGGCACTGATTGCTTACTGCAGTACAGAGTGTGGGGAGAGTTGCAGTATAGTAATAACTGTTGAGTAAGGTTTCCAGAGCAGTTTTACCTAGGTGGGGGAGACCATGGCACTGAGCAACGATGGTATGAGCCAAGTTCTTAGGCACTACTGGTCTGTTGTCAGGGAGTAGCCACAATCCCCCAGCACTCTGCTTTGCTCCCTCCTGCTGTGCCTACAGGTTATCTTCCTTAGAGTACTCTGGCTTTCCCACATCCCCTCGGAGCCAAGGGGTGACTATGAACAAGTAGGTAGGGGCCTACACAGGCCCCTTCTTCAGTGCAGCTGCCTTAGTTTCTTGGTCAGCCAGCCAGTTTCCTATAGAGATAAGATCAGTGCCTCTTTGGTGGCCCTTGTAATGTATGACAGCTACCTCTTTGGGCTTCCAAACTGCTTCTAGCAGTGTGAGAATTTCTTCCTTATTTTTGATTTCTTTTCCTCCTGTCAGCAGCCCTCTTTCTTAGTATATCGCCCCATGTACGTGGACAGTTGTAAAGGCGCACTTGGAGTCAGTGTAAATATTGATTGCTTTGCCTTCTGAGAGGCACAGGGCCTAAATAAGAGCATGTAATTCCGCCCGTTGTGCTGACCAGCCTCTGGGCAAGAGGGCTGCCTCGACCACTTCAGTGGTGGTGGTGACTGTATACCCTGCATACCTTTCCCCATTCTGGACATAGCTGCTTCCGTCAGTGAACAGGTTTAAAAATACCTTAGGGAGGGGACAGTCCTTGAGGTCTGGCCAACTGACAAAGACCTCATCTACCATTTCCTCGCAGTCGTGGTCCAGGGACCCCTCCTCTGTGGATAGAAATGTGGCTGGCTTGAGGCCATGCACAGTCTCAATAGTGACCCGCGGGTTTTCACAGAGTAACCCTTGGTAGTGGGTCAAACGAGCATTTGAGAGCCACCGGTGCCCCTGGCTGCTCATGAGGGTGGACACCGAGTGGGGCACTTTAATATGGATAATCTGGCCCAAGGTTAGCTTGTCAGCATCCTTCATCAGAATGACTGTGGTGGCTAAGGCTTAGAGACAAGGGGCCATCCCAGCACCACTGCATCCAACTGTTCTGACAGATATTCTACTGGCCTCTGCCAAGGCCCAACGGTCTGGGTGAGGACCCCAAGTGCTGTTTTGTTTTTCTCCTGAACAAATAGATTGAATTCCCAGGTGACATCTGGAAGTCCTAGTGCTGGGGCATTTTGAAGCAGTGCCTTGATTTCCTGGAAAGCCATGTCTTGGCTCTTACCCCACTCAAGAGGTTTATCTTCCAGCCCAGTTAGGGCCCCATAGATGGGCCTTGCTATGTCCGAGAAGCCGGGAATCCATATGCAGCCAAAGCCTGCCACCCCGAGAAACTCCCAGAGCTTCCTCTTGGTGTTGGGAGTGGGCATGGAGCAAATCACCCTTTTCCTCTCCAGTCTCAGAGCCCGATGTCCTTTGGTGATGATGAACCCCAGGTACCTCACCTGCTGTCTGCAGATTCGGGCCTTAGACTTTATATCCTGCCTCTGTAAGGAGCTGCAGCAGCGGCACCTTGGTCCCTTCCCAGCAGTCCTTCCACCCCCTGCTGGCAAGAGGTAGGTCATCCATGTACTGCACCAGTGGGCAGTTAAGGTCCTCTCGTGGGAAGGCAGCTAAATCTGCAGCAAGTGCCTCACCAAACAATGTGGGAGAGTTTTTAAATCCTTGGGGCAACAGAGTCCAGGTCAGTTGCATCTTCCTTCATGTTTGGGGCTCCTCCCATTCGAAGACAAAAAGTGGCTGGCTCTTTGGTGCCAATCATAGACAGAAAAAGGCACCTTTCAAGTCCAGGCATGTGAGCCACTCAGCTTCAGAGGGGAGATGGCTCAGGAGAGTGTATGGGTTAGGAACCACCCAGGGGAGGGTGATTGCGGCACCGTTTCCTGCTCTCAAGTCCTGTACTGGGCGATATTCCCCACCGGGCTTTCTCATTGGCAATAGGGGGGTGTTCCAGGGAGACTGGCATTCGACCAAGAATCCCCCCTTTCTAAGCTGTGAAATGTGTTCCCAGATTCCCATCTGGGCCTCTCAGGGTATTGGATACTGTCTCTGCCTGACAAGGGAGGGCTCCAGGCTTGAGGTCAATTATCAGTGGTGTGTGGGCCTTGGCTATTCCGGGGGGGTTCATCTCTTTCCAGACTGCAGGGAAGGTGCCCAGGAATTCTGGTGTGTTTTCCTCTGACCTATCAGTGGTGTGCAGTTTCCATTCTTCCTCATGTGGAAGCTTGACTTACAGGATTAGGCCCCCCTTCGGCTCACTTAAAGTAAGATTGGCTGGGCCCCTGGTTCAAAGGTGATTTGTGTCCCCAATTTGCTCAACAAGTCTCTCCCCAAAAGGGGAACAGACAATTCCAGCAGGTAGAGGAACTCATGGCGAATCTGGTGGCCCCCTAAATGGCATGTCTGCTCTTGGCAGAACAGCCAGGGCTCTACCTGGTCACCTGTTGCTTCCACAACAGTTGCCTCTGGTTGCTAAACGGGGCAACCAGAGTGGTGACCACCGAGTACTCTACTCCGGTATCTACCATTAAAGTCATTGGGTGGCCCTCGACCTTCATCTTGACCATGGGCTTTTGGGGCCAAGTTTCATAGAGCCTGGCCTGTCCTAGTCTGAGTCCATCCAGGCCAAGCCGATCAGGTGGGCCTGGCTGTGTTCTGGCTGGTATTCTGCCCTCCCTCAGGGGGTGCCCTACCTGGGACCGTCCACTTGGGGCACTGGTTCTTCCAGTGTCCCACCTCTCTGCAGCATGCACGCCGATCTAGCTACAAGGGAGGGTGCTCAGATCTCCCCTCTTTGCACTGGGGGTGTGTCAGGCAAGGCTGGTGGACTGGGGGCTGATGGTGCTGGAAGGGCATAAGGCAGTGGCAGCTCCTCCTCGGGATCATCCTGATGAATAGGTTGCTTGGGCCTCTTAGTTGCTTGGGCCAAGAAGACCTTGCACTGTTCCTTCCTACAAGCACAGAATCGAACTCAAGGGGGAGGGTCTGAGCTATTTCCAACCAGGAATCAATATACCGGAACTGGTCCAGGTGGCCAGGGTTACCAGTCACAGCCTTCCAAACAGCCTGTACCTTGAAGACTTTCAGGGTGCCCTCTGGTGGCCAGCTGACGCTAAGCACCAGACACTGATCTGCAGAGGGTTTTTAGCTTTCCTGGGGTAATTTTAGCCCCATAATCTGCAGAAAAGCCCTTCCTGAAGTTTTTGACCATACTGTCTAGGACTGTGGGCTTAGACTGACTTTTCCCCATGATGTGTATCCCCTTTTGAATGGTGACGCAAGACAAAGGAGGGGTGTCCCGTGAAGGAACACTCAGATGCCCACCTGGTCGTGCCCCTTGCAGGAATTTAGGCGTCTCTTAGCAGTCAGGTCTGTATAATCCCCCGACTCAGATCGAGCTCAGCTCGATACCTCCATAAGCCATATAAGGTTCCCCACAGAAACGCAGGCTCGGGCCCTGTCAAGCTCCGTAACTTGCACCGTGGAGCTACAGATTGAAGGTTCAAGAGCAGGCTCTTGAACGCCCGACACACTCACACACTCACTCAGAGGTTATCACATTCCCACCCTAACGTGAGAAATCCACCTGCTATCTCCAAATGGAGACCCCGGGAGGTGATCAGGCTCCCATTCCGTCCGCAGGTAGGCCTGCCTAGAGTCGGGTCCCGTGACCTTACCTTATCCGGAGTTCACCTCAGTTCAGTCCGTCTTCCCCTAGAGTCCGGTGAGCAGCAACGCCGGGGCAGCAGCAGTTCCCCTTCCAGGGAAGGAGGCCCTGTAGAAGTTTACAGGGCCCCTTCCTCGTTCCCGGCGGGGAACAGGCGAGCTCTTGGTCCTTTCCGACCTCAAACGGTGGCTCAAAGGAGCCAGTGCGGCTGAGTTTCCCGGTCAGGGAACCAAATGCTCTGGAAAATTTTACCTGACAAGAAACCCAAGCCACACTCAGGGAAATGGAGGAACACTCTTTTATTACGCCGGCGGGCCCAGAAGGGTTCACACCTAAAAGTCTGGACTCCCGCTAAGAAAAGTACACAGTTTTTACAGGTAGGGGGACAAGGGAAGTAACTCATAACTTTTAGACAACACAGCAGTTTTTTTTTTAAAGACTTTTTAGCTAGTAAGCAATAAGCTGAGGTCCAGAAGCAGAAAGAGGCAGTAATTAGCAGAAAAACAGGGGCAGTTTTAAAATAGGGAAGTAGCTGACTATGTGCCAACAAAATCCTGGGGAAAATTTCCACTTCAATTTAAGGGAATGGGTTAATTGGATGTGGCCACAAGCTCTGGTCTGTGTACTTTTCCCACTTTAGTACAGGTACTATTTAAATTATCATTGAGGTCAGGTTTGTAAAAGAAAAGTTCATTTTTTTTTTCCTTAAACAGTGTGATCTAAAAGGATGACAAATATAAGTTGTTGTTGTTGTTGTCTTGCTATTTTCCTCTGAGATACGATGATCATACCTTCTGGTATGTCTGGAACAGTTTAGACTATAAAAGTTTACACCTATTATAAATTAACACCTGTTCATTTTTTAGCGTCTCTCATTTTCACTTTCAAAGAAGTTTCAGTTTAGATAACAAATGTACAGTCAACCTACCTAAAAACATTTAAATGTTTAGACATGGGTAGATTTTATAATCTCTAGGGATAGTTTAAAAAGGCCTGAAGACAAAACTAATGCAATGCTTATCTCTTACCCTCAGCTATTATTTGGCTGAAATTCACTATGGGATGGGGTTGTCCCGTGCTCTCTCACTTTCCTTCTCTTTTGTTTTTGTTTGATGGGGTAGGAGAGGAGGAAGAATACTGCCCGAGGTCAAATACTAATCTGATAGTCTGGGCGTGGTGGCTCACACCTGTAATCCTAGCATTTAGGGAGGCCCAGGCAGGCAGATCACTTGAGGCCAGGAGTTTGAGACCAGCCCAGCCCCATCTTTATTAAAAATACCAAAATTAGCTGGGCGTGTTGGTACACATCTGTAATCCCAGTTACTCCAGATCCTGAAGCATGAGAATCGCCTGAACCTGGGAGGCAGAGGTTGAAGTGAGCTGAGATTGCACTACTCACTCCAGTCTGGGAAATAGAATGAGACCATCTCTAAAAAACAAAACATATACACATTTGAAAGATTTTGTAGTTTGCCATAGGCCGTAGCTAATTCTTTGGGTGAGAATTACTAGGCTTTAAGGTCCAGTACAGGCTGTTTTGCTGGGTCCTATAGTGTGTTCTTTCTGTAATCTTTGTGTGGACGGGATATTACACCTTCAGGACACAATTTCCTCAAGTGGGAAATCCCCTCTGATTAGACATCTTTAAATGATGGTGAAAGGCTGGAGGAACAGGGCAGTTTAATCCCCTCTGAATAAGCCCTGACAAGGTTTTCAGGTCCCCAAGTGCTTACTCCATAGTTTGGAGAATATTTGAAATTTCTCTGCTTTCCTTTTTCAATTCAGAGCAACAGGAGATGTATGTGAACATCCTCTTCATAGCCATGACTGGATGTCAGAATGGGACAAAGAGGGTGAGTCAGGGTCATTTGCAAGATTCTCCAATCATAACGGTGTTAAAGTTTCCTGAGACTACATCTGTGGCCTAATGAGTGATTGAAATTAGCTATCAATTGATAATTTGGAAAACATGAATATTCTGATTCAATTCCCTGCCATTACCTTAAGAAACAACCTCCCTTTCAGATCAGGAAGAAGGGGTGCTTGCAGATCTTAAAAATGTAAATGTAAACTCAAAGACCTATTTCGATGTTGATTTAAAGCAAGTTTGGGTTTGTTTGCCTTTTTTGTTCTGTTCTGTTTTGTTTTTATGATGTCATGACTTATTAGTGTAAACAGGAGGAAGTTGACTACTTCAATTTTCTCAGCAGAGTTACATTTGAGTATTAACAACAATGATAATGTCAGAGGCCTTTGAACCAGAGCAACTCCATCTTGAATAGGGGCTGGGTAAAAGGAGGCCGAAACCTACTGGGCTGCATTCCCACACAGTTAAACATTCTGTTGCAGGATAAGTTACAAGGTCAGCACATGATACAGGTCATAAAGGCCTTGCTGATAAAACAGATTGCAGTAAAGAAGACGGTTAAATCTCACTAAAACAAAGATGGCAATGACAGTGACCTCTGGTCATCCTCACTGCTACACTCCCACAAGCAACGTGATAGTTTACAAATGCCATGGCAATGACAGGAAGTTATCCTATATGGTCTAAAAAAAGAAGGCATGAATAATCCACCCATTGTTTAGCATCTAATCAACAAATAACCCTAAAAGTGTGCAAACAGCAGCCCTTGGGGATGCTCTGTCTATGGGGTAGCCATTCTTTCATTTCTTTACTTTCTTAATAAACTTACTTTCACTTTACTCTATGGACACACACTGAAGTCTTTCATGTGTGAGATCCAAGAACCCTCTCTTGGGGTCTGGATCAGGACCCCTTTCCTGTAACATCTTTCTGGTGATCGCAGAAGGAATTATCATACAGAAATGCCCTAACTTTTGGTAAGTGGCAGGATCTGATAACAATACCATAAGATGATTGGAAAAGAAAAGCTCATTTATATTATTGTGTAAATGGTTTGGCAAAAAATATGGATAATCTCTACCATCCTGCCTGCTTGCATGACAGAAATATTTTAAATATGTGGTGCCTGTTAGGTGTTAGCTATGAGGGAAATAGCTTGGATATAGGTAACATGTTCTTTTTTATCTCTCTCGCTCTTTTTTTTTTTTTTTTTTTTAGAGAGAAGAGGTTTCACCATGTTGACCAGGATGGTCTTGATCTCTTGACCTCATGATCTGCCCACCTCGGCCTCCCAAAGTGCTGGGATTACAGGCATGAACTACCGTGCCCGGCCAGGTAACATGTTCTTATACCTCCTATGATGGTTAATCTTATAAGTCATCTGGGCAACCAGGAGCCCAGATATTTGGATAAGCAATATTCTGAATATGTCTTATAAGGGTGTTTCTGGATAAGTTTAACAGTGTGAGTGGGCATCCTCCAATCCATTTTAAGCCTAAATAATAGAACAAAAGGTGGAATAAGAGAGAATTTGCTCCTTCTACTTAACTGCTTTTGAGTTAGTGTAATACTCTTTTTGCACTCAGATTGGAACTTACTCCGCCGGCTCTTCTGGGTCTTAGGTTGTCACACTCCGTCTGTTGGGAGGGATTGGAATTTCATTTTTGGTTGGTGATATCAACTTTTCTTCAATATGGAAAATTAGTAATGGGCTATTTTACATTTCATTTAATTGTTCTAGGTCTTCAAAACCTTGTATGTATTTTTATACTTAAAGCACATCTCAATTTAGTTTAGCCATATTTCAATTGCTTGGTAACCACACCTGGCTACTATACTGAACAACAGAGCGCAAGACTGTAAGCTCCTTACATATTCTTGAAAGTCTCTCATAGAGACTCACTTCTAGATCCCCAAAGCCTAGCTCAGAGCTTAGCACATAGTAGTTGCTAAATAAATGTTTGATTAATAGAAAACATCCTTTAGGCTAATACAGAATAGCTTTTTGTATATGTTGAGAAGGTTAATTTTTAGACATTAAGGAAAAGAATAACAATGAGAAAGGAAGACAGGAAGTAGTATTTCATTTATATATGCGTGTGCACTGTAAGTATTGTATATTGCGTTGTTGCAACAATTTGTTTACGTTTATCTTGTTGCTATTGTTTTGGCATTTGAGGCGTCATATTGAAAATACCCTCTAGGATGTTCCCATTTTGTTATGCACAATATGTTCTGAAACTTTTTTATCACCTCTATTAGATAATAGTGGCATTGGAAGGCAGTATCTTTTTCTCAGTCATCTTCTTATTCCCTGCAGTACAAATAACAGAGCACCCACTAAAGATGTGTGCCATCTCTAGAGTAAATTTCCTGAGGTTTGCCTTCTTCCTTACAGTTTATTCACCATAATCTATGAGGAATCTGCCTGCTGCAGGCACAGTTTTCAATGTCAACTTTCTTATTAAATTTTGTGGCTTATTTTTGTATCTCGTATAAAGAATAATAATGTAAATAAAATGCCCCATGCTGTTGAAATGTATATTACAATCAATAAACATATTTCTTAATATCAAAAGAATTTTTGAAATATATATGTTTTACTTTTTCCCTATGTTATCTAACAAAACTAAGTTCAGTCTTCATATTTTTATTATAACAATAATATTTAATTATATGAAATGTTAAACATGTATACTGTCTCTTTTGGATATATATATATACTTTTTACTATATACACAATTGAGCACAGAAATGAACTCTTAATGATTTTAAAGCAAAAAAAGATCTCGGTATAGAAAATCTTAACATTTTCTTCTCAAGGTTAAATCAAGAATTTTCATTTAGAAATGTTTCACTTTGTGAACTCTTAGGAAAATAACATGATTTCCAGCAATGACAGCAGGGTACTTAGGACAATAAAGAAAATGGGGAGTAGATATGAAATTTCTAGTGAAAATATATTGGAGCTGAACATTTTGAATCTTCCCATGTGTTTGTTATAAGTAGCTATTTGAAATGTCCTTTTGGATAATGCTTTAGAGTATTGCAAACTAAGAGCAGATGGACATAAATGTCTGGAATTCTTTAATTTCTTTAACTATAGCAGAGACTGCTAGAATGCTTGTGTTTCCTAGATTTTATCCTGATTCTGCTATTATGTAAGCGGAAGGTTAGTATTCAACACCTGCTCTGCTGTTGCTGCTGCAGCACACATACTTAGGAATGCTTGGGTTTATCATCATTTATTAATTACTTAATCAATAAATTCTGTAAATGGTGACTGTAATTATCCCAGAAGGTCATTGAAATTAAGGAGAATAAGGTCCCAGGGCAATGAAGCCCAGGCTCACATCTATTTATCTGAAGCTACATGACAAGATGCTATTTTTTATTTCTGCCTTGAATTTCAAATTAACAGCCAGCTGAAAAGATTGTGTTGAAAAATGAATCCATAATAAAGGGATTTACTCCTTTTCCTTGGAGTTGTTTCTTTGCTGCCATTGATATTGATTAATGGAATATGTATACCTTAAGGGAACACAACCACCCTTGGACTATCTTCTCTCTGGAGTATGTTCCGATGCTGTTAATGTCTTGCATTTCTAAACACTCAGGTCAATCAAGTGTTTTAGACACTATGTGTTTTATGGAGAGAAAATC